GTTTTAACTGAGAATGTTATGTTAAAGCAAAGGTGCGAGGGCAGTATCATCAAAGTTGTTGGAGCAAAATCTTTTGTTAAAATATCAAGTTGAAATTCGCAAGCATTCGAAGTTTGTATGTAAATTCTTAGTGCAACTTGGCGTCTGCAAATGTACGTAACTACTTAATATGTTGATTTCTTTGATAGGAGATTTGTAGTGTAAGTAAGTATCTACTAGGTTGTATTCCTCGATAACGAGACGTAGTTAAGGATTTCTTATTTAATTATATCGATCGCGTTATTAGTTGGGTAGATTGTTATAAAGAATGAGTATCAGACTGTATACAGCGTTCAATATTGTTGGTTTAAAATTATATTATAGAGTCTGTGCGGAAAGAGAACGGGCGTGTCGAAAAACGGAACTAACATTAAGATTTTTATTTGGCAATCAAACCCAGCAATCTGTAAAACGTCAAAGTTTTGTATTATACGTATTTGTTGGTTGTTGTGATTTCTTGCGGTTTTTTGTATTTAATCATGTCTAAAAGGAGTAAAACCTTAGAAATACGGTAGAAACGCACTACAGTGCCCCCCAATCTAAATCCCATTCTCTTTCCGCACAGACTCGAATTAATTATGACAAAACACTACGGGGTATAGACGATATATCGCGATCATAGAGCAACAAGGAAGGGAGTAGCCATTGTCATCATCATCATCAACCTATTAATGTCCCCACTGCTGGGACACAGGCCTTCCCTATGAATGGAATAGGGAGATTGGTCCATGACCCACCACGAGGGCCCAGTGCGGATTGGTGGGTGCTAACGACTGCAGATGCTGCCGGGACCAACGGCTTAACGTGCCTTCCGAAGCACGGAGGAGTTCGAGATAGTAAATGTTTGGTCACCCATCCAATGACCGACCACTGCGAAAGTTGCTTAACTTCAACGATCGCAGCCGAACGCGCTAACCACTTGCGCCATCGAGCTCGCTCCTCAAGCCATTGTACTACTACTGAATTCATACTGGCACTTTTTGCGGAGGGAAGAATATACACACAAATGCAGTCTAACATACACTCTCACAAAACGAATTTATAACTAAGACACTCAAACATAAAAAATGACACAATACTAAATACGAAATATGTACTGAGAAGATTATTCTTTTGTCAAACAAGTCCGACGATTGAATTTTAACAAAATATAATGAATGTTGTGTTAAAAATGATTCATATGATGAGGAATAATAAGTTAATAATTCTACTTATATGTGAATTTTAACGCCATCCTTTTTGTAAGTTTGATGGTCCAGATATATATATATATTACAGCAAATTACAAAACTTTTTGGCATTTTTGAGCTCTAACATAGACTCGTGCGACTTGACTCAATCTAGTGAAATATCCGAGCGCAACTAGTTTTGTTCGTGAGCTGGCCCAATAGCAGGAGAAAATCGGCAGACAGTCAGCAACACAGTCGACGCGGCCAAGTAGGTATTCACAGCTATCCCCAGTTGTGAATACCTACTTGGAAGCGTCGACTGTGTTGCTCTATGATCACATAAAACACTGCAGGTTAGATCAATTCTTTACATCTATGTGTTTTTTTTTTTAAGTATTTAACTGCTAGATGATTAAATCTAAAGAAAAGTTTTACTAGAAAAAAATCCACGCGGACCAGGCAGCGGACGGGACAAGAACCCGCACCCTTTGAAATCCGGGCGAATACACTCACCAATTATGCTACCACGGCCCTGATGGCCGCGTCGAAATTCTCCTAGCCTTAAGCTGCAAGGCAGCGCCATCTCTTCGCATTGTAGGTAATTTTTTTTCGCAATACTTTCTGAGTGGCCTGGTATTAGGTAACATTGCAACATCGAGTTATAAACTGGAAAATTCTTTTTTAATTTAAGTTGAAATTTTTTTTTTCTTCTGTTAACTTCAAAGCATTGATAAAAATATAGAAAGATGTTTTAAAATTAATTTGGCCTTATTTTAATTTAAGAATGTTTGTGAAAGTGCTTATTAAACAAATATATTCAATATACTTTATTAACAAACTATTGTGTAAACGTTAAATTAACGATATCACTAGATTGAAGCGTCCGCCTTAAAAAATAAAGAAAGAGGTCGATCATACATAACATAATAGTACAAGATCCGAAGATCGCCAGACCTTACTTATTTTCCCATTGACAAGATATGGATAATCGAGTAGTATTTGTGTGTACAATGAACCGTGTATGTTCCCCCAAATTTTTGAATAGCGCACGCTATGGAAGCAATAGAGTAAGACCCCAAATCTTCCGGACCTAACGTATATTCTCATGGACAAAATATAGATAATCGAGTAGTATTAGTGTGTACAATGAACGTATACATACTCGCTAACTTGTGCTGTGGGCCAATTTTCAGGTATCGGGTGGCACAGGCACGTAAAAAATTTACTCACTTTACTTAAACTCAGAGGACTGATTCATATGTATGTTGTAGGGAATATTGTATAAATTTGAAATTAATACTGCCAGATACATTCTGTCCGCAGTTTGTATTGCTAGACACTTAATGGCGAAAGCAAAAAAACAACCTTACTTAATTGCTGCAATAATTTTGATAATGAAATATAATAAGAAATTAATATTATAATTATTTAATTATTGTAAAAATTACATTATTTTAAAGATAACTTTAATGGAGCTTATAAACAAGGCACCTAATTACTATGAGCACGCTCTTTCTCAAATGTCATAGATGGATATCATATCTGACATCTGCTCAGGCTGTAAGTGGGTTTGTGTTTTTTTGCTTACGACATTTAAAATGTCTGGCAATAAATACTGCTCACTGAATGTGTCTGGCAGTATTGAATTCAAACTGTTTAAATATTCTCTACTAAAACATACGTAAGAATCAGTCCTCAGACCTGTGCCACCCGATACCTGAAAATTGGCCTACAGCACAAGTTAGCATGTAAACGTTCGTATACAGACTAATACTACTCGAATATCCTTATTTTGGTCATGAGAAAATAAGTAAGGTCTGGCGGTCTCGGGATCTTACTTATACCGTAACGTATCAAGTCTGTAGTACATAGAAAAGGTAAAATCTGTATCATTAATTTTAATTATTTAGATTAGAATCACTTAGGCATACGAATTACATTACTTAAGTTGAATTTTTGCAGCCCTGACTCATAAAGATGGTTTGCGTGTTTGAATGCACTTGGTAACGCCAGTCCTGCTAGACCCTCCCACCCTCCTGAACATTCGTCATTTGTTAAGGAAAGGAACAAAATTCGTGACCACGGTGGTTCGTGTGTCACCAGTCAATTCTTGTTTGTTATCTGTTTACGATACATTAAATTCTGGAAAATTATGAATCATCAATTCTTTCACTTATTGCGGAAATTTATTTACAATTTTTAGTTAGGATTATAAGATGTCTTGTCATTTAATTGAGGGAGTTTATATCGGGGGGATTATTTAGTATAGTGCGACCAAGACCTTGTTGCGCGTGGCCTAAATTTAGTACTAGTTTTAGGATGGTATAAATAAGCCTTTTATATTTCCTATTACTCTTTCCTAGATATTGAAATTATAACGTTCCCTTTATATTAAAACTAGCTGTCCCAGCGAATTTCGTACAGCAATAAAAAATAGGGGTAGGTGGTAGAAGGGTGAAAATTGAGGATTGTACGAACATAAAAAAATAAATACAAAAAAAATCCAAATAAAAATTTGTAAGGGTGGACTCTTAACATTTAGGAGGATGAAAAACAGATGTTGTCCGATTCTCAGAACTACTGAATATGCATATAAAATTTCACGAAAATCGGTCCAACCGTTTCGGAGTAGTTCAATTACGCCCACCGTGTCACGAGAATTTTATATATTAGAAGATTATAACGTTCCTCGCAGTGCTCACCTGTGAATGTCATTAAAGTACCACAAGTTCTTTAAGTTTGTAGTACTGTAGCTTATGGTGGTCTAAAAGTCAAAACGACTGATTTGGTAACCCATATCGATTACCACCAGGGTCAAGGCTACATTAAAGGGTCTCAACGTTCGCAAAAAATGTGCAAAGTTAAATCAAGTCGTTGCTGGGAAGCCATGGAGGTGGACCTTTTGTATTGGATCGAGTGGGTAAAACGGACTAAAGTTTGAAGTGCGCGTTGTTGCGCCTTAATGTCACGGAGTTCTATTTTTTTCGAGGACTATCGCGTACTTGTTGTTGGGTATACGGGTAGCGGGTACGGGTGGCTGTGTGGATTGCCGGCATTATAGTTTTAGGACCGTATTACAGAATGACAACTATGTTGATCTTTACTTGAGTACAGTTAGGAAGGGATGTCGCTATGGGCTATATATAGCGACATCCCTTTCTAACTATGCTCAAGACTAGATCAATCACTGAGAAACTTTCTATAATACGGGCCTTAGAGTTACTGATTAGAAATGTATACCGATATTATATGTATAATCACCTACCTATGTTCTTTGTTGTTATTGTTTGAAATGACCTTTGCCATAAGGCACTGGCTGAAAATCAGCGCTGCTGTGGTATCGCGAAAGCGTTTACCACAGAGCATAGCTGAATCAGCTTAATATTGACTTTACACGGCACGCACCTAGTAATTAGTTCCCATGTTTTTTATTATGTCTATGTTCTATTATTGTTACCATTTTGTTTTTCTAAATTTATGCTGTGAAGGCCAATAAAATCTTTTTCTTTATTTCTGTCTTTCTTTTGTCCTGTCCGGTCTCTCAGTGTCTTCAGTTGATCGGGGGAGTTAACTATATAATTTACATGCATTCATAGGTATAAGTGCATGTAAATTATACAATAAACTAGTATATATTTGAAAAAAAGGCCCTTTTCTTTATGTTTATCGACCCACTTAGTACCTAATTTGGCAAGATTTGTATGTTTGTAAAAAAATACTCCCAAACTATTGAACCGATTTCAAAAATTCAATCACCATGAGGTACTATTAATATTCGTCCTTTTGTTCCAGGGCGAATATGTTGATGTTCCGTGTTGCCGTGACGGTTGCTGCCGTGTGTATGGCCATGGCTTACGACGACGGTAAGTTTTAAATTAATCTCTTAAAAATAAATCTAAGGGGTAGAGCACCACAAATGCTTTCACGTTAAGATTGTCGGATATAATCATGTGGTCACCCTACTTGTTCAATTAAGCTGGCTGGTCTCCAATGCTCCAGTAGAAGCTGTCACTACCTGATCCACGTAATAGCAGCTGAAATCTAAGTTTGTATTTTGTAAGTCGCACCGAGTTTGTTGTGGTACCTTCCTATAAGACTCACAGGTAAGACTTTGAACTCCATGAACAGGTTAGTAAGTTCAATTGAACATTGAAGACTACATCTCCCGCTAAATATGTACATATATTTTCATCGGGAACATCTTATAAACACGGGCCAATTTTAGGTAAGAAATGACATATAAAAACAATTTATGACCTGCTGTGTGCTAGGGGTGCTAGTGCGGTGCCACCACATGAGTAAAGATACGTAGAAAGATAATGCTTCTATTGAGCGTGCGAAATTTTTCCTATTTTTGGTAGGGTTGACCCACGAGTATAAATTAAAACCAACAAAACATTTCAAATAAATGTTGGTTAAGTATAGTTATGCATATGATTATATATTTTTATAATCATATGCATAACTATACTTAACCAACCTAAATACAGACCTACAGAAATTTGTCCAGGTCTGGGCGTATGTGCAATGTGCATTTGAGATTTTTTGTAATTACACCCACGATACAGAAGAAAATCCTTGTGTGAGGCGAAGTATTTAAAAAAATATATATATCAAACTTGATAGTAGTAGATCCATCTCCTAGACCTAGAGCGATTGGTTGTCATATCATTACAAAAAAGATAATGTATGGTCAATCAAATTATTATTAAATAGACATTTAGAACTTGTGACCTAAATGTGTGCATGCAATTATGATCCTTAAGGTGGTAAGCATTTTCTGACTGCGACCGTATATGTAAAAGGTACCTTTCTATCTATGCAGACATATTAACCACATATTAAATAATAAATTTTACATTTTTCGGTCTTTTATTTTTCATGTGCACAGTACAGTAAACCATGTTTATTTTAACTTTTTGAAAACAATATAATTTTAAAGCATAAAACGAAAATACATACGTCGCGAGTGTTGCGCGAGCCCTGCACTTGAGCACTGGCACTAACGTGACACTGTAGTGTGTCTGTGTATGTGACAGGCAGCCAGTGCTCCATCCCACAAGCGCGTCTTGCTTTTTTATAACGAAGTAGGCAAATGACTCTACCCCATCTGATGTTAAGTGGTGATAAAGTCCAAACGCGAATATAGCTGATACGGCAGTTATAAACTGCTACAAAAACCATCCTCACCTTATAGTAGTGAAACGATAGTAGCGCGGTTGTATGAAGTTTTGTCTCTGTATGTATCTTTACACCTGTGGTGCTAGTAACCCAGCTACATAACAAACACTTTCAAAATTCTAAAATAGAAAAGAGTTCCAATAAATGGTTATTAACTTTGTTTTATTTTTTAAAAGAACTTAATGTTAGCTTTTAATTGTTGTTTGCTTTTAATGTTCTTAATTTTCACGTCACCTTGTCTGTACGTACTGTACCATCTTTTTTAAAATATTTTTGGCAGTATGTTGATATTTGCTAAGTATCTCCTAAATGCCTGAATTATTTGTGGTGATTTAAAGTGTTATGTCTGAATGTAATATTGTTACAATCTTTGTACCTTTTAAACTTGTGCATGATGCATTAATGGCAAAAAAACGGCTTCTATTTGGCAAACTAAATAGATAACCGTACTCCATAGTAAAAAAAGTGACGGGTTCTACTCCCGTTCTAGACAATTGATTATATCATTTCACAAAAAATATTAACTGGAATTGGGTCCAGGGGGCTTCCTACAAAAAATATACTCACACAGAAATCGGCCCATCATAATAACCAATGGAATGAAGAACTTCTTTCCGATTTTATTTTTTAATTTTTTAGTAGGTCCTCGGTATCTAAGAAGTGTTACGAAGAAGCGACGTCGTTTCACCAACCGAAAGTCAAACACGAAATTAAGTTAAAGTACTGAGCTTTATTCTTAACGCTACAAAGAACTTTTCTTCACAGTGAGGTCATTGCGTGCAGTGAGGAACTATGACGCAAGGTTGCCGTGTGGTTTCGGAAAGATCTTTCTCGACGGGCCAGACGCCTACGTTTTATGGCTAAAGGATGATGAAAAGTTTCTTTACCGATTTCCTAACGAAGATACATGGCAAAAGTTAGTGAAATTTTATTTTTAAGTTATGAGAAATTCTTTGTTTCTTAATGAAAACAAAAACATTTAAAAAAGTAATTTTGTAAAGCCATGTACAGATATGGCGTTCCAGGGTACGCGTAGGGTTATTTAAACATGCCTAGGAACGCCATACCCATACACAAAGCTACTCGTATACGGTACGCGTAGCCAAAGTATATATGGCGTATCAGGACACACTCAACAGACTACGCGTACCCTGGAATACGCTATCCTTTATGCAGCTTACCAAATGACTGTCTACTTTTTTTGTACTGCATACGATTTCATCCATTTGTCGGAATACTCACTTTAAGTGATTCTCGTCTAATACTGGAGACTCCTCGTTTTGAGGAAAGTAATTCCTATGCTACACTTCAAAAACTTTATAAGACAGTTTATTTAAAATTATAAATTAATTCTACCGCATCTAGAGCCTAAAGCTTTACCATATACAGTTAATGTACCTATTAACTGCAATTCACAAAATCTTAACCTTTTATAGGTCAGTTTAGTTTTGAAATAAAAAAAATCATCAATTTTTTTCAACGCTTAGTTTACTTAGTGCAGTACAAATATAAATGTCACATGAGGATAAACTCAAATTTCTTGAGCTTATCACATAAGAACAAGTGTAAATAATTAAAAAAATTCAATCCATCAATTTTACATTGAATGTCTAACCTAACCTAGCCTACGACCTGCGCTGCAGTAGGCTGGAGCACGGAGCGTATGTCTGCTTCGCGTGCAATTTCATGTATCCGCTTAACGCAGCGCAGGCTCTTATAAACTGTGATTTTGTATGTTGTCGAGTCATATTATTTTCCAGAACCTTAAATCCCAATAACATTTACGGAACCTCGTGTGTCGGCAGTCATTGCTACGATGACACATCACTATTTCTACCGCAAGTTACTGATAAAGACGAAGGGAAATACAGATGTAGAGTCCACTACCAAGGGTCCTCATCAGTGGACTATGTTATTGACTTGAAAATTGTTGGTAAGGGATTGTTGAATGAATACTAACGAATTATCATATACAGCACTACCACATTAGAGAATAGTAAAGTAATTATTGCAATTTAATAACAGATAAGGGCCAATTGATACCGGTATGGTAGCGGGAGACCACGCCGTCATGTCCACTATGTGACCAATTGACCATGAATACACATAATATTTGACTGATTTTATTTTAATCGAGTGCTATCAATATAACTACGAATAAAGAAGGAAACGACTACGAATAGAGAACTATAGTTATCTGAATTCTTAGTAAATCGAGTACTCATACTAGAATATATATTACAATTTAATAAATGACGTAGTTAATTCGATCTAATATTTTTTTGCGCCTCTAACATTACAGCGGTTTGCTTCAAACAAATAATAAAAAAGTATCCTTTCATTGTGATATACCGTACCGATACCGTACGCGTGTTTTCTAATAATAATGACACCATGATCTATTGTATGGCAAATATAGACATTTTTCCTCAATTGATTTCTACTGAAAAGAAATACAATAAATCATACTGCTCTAATAAGTTCGACCCAGATGAAACCTATGCCAAATTGTCTTTATGTAACATACCAGTTTTTATAAATATTCTATTTCTCTGTGATACATGTATACGACTCTGAACAAATATTTAATTATACTATTTTTTTTGGTAAAAGTATTTCATGTGATGAATAAGAATTGTGTTTATTTTATACAAATCAAACTTAGTTACTTTGACATAAGTACTTAGCTTATTTAAGATTCCAGAGTTATGGTAAAAATTAACTCATATGATTGATTTTCTCAAATGTAATTTAAATCATATCTTAAAGGAAAATGATAAAATATGATTTTTTTAAAACAATTTCATTTAAGTAGGTACCTATCTTAATGAAATTCCATAATTTTATTAGTAGTTAAAGGTTTTAATGATGTCGATTCTGACATGTTTCTCTAAACCTAAACTTAAATTTGGCAACAGTGTACCTTTTTCATTTTCTATAAATAATGAAAAGGAGAGACTGACGTTAAATTTAGTTTTAAGTTTAGAGAATCATGCCAGAATCAATAGACCAGGGTCGATAATTTTAAAAATGGTGAAAAGTGAAAAAAAATATAGTAGGATGAAACCCATTAGAAAAGGTAGAGAATATTACAAAAATTAAAGGAAAAATAAATTACGGGCGATCTGAGGTCGGGAAGGGGGAGGGGGTGAGTTTTTAAGGGTAAAAAATGGTTAATCTCGATTTCCAGTAAAACTGCAAGTCCTATGAAAAAAAGTTAAATGGCAAAGTTGTAGGTAATAAAAAGATCTACAACTTTTGTATCGACACCTTTTTCACATAACCTCAAAATTTATGTGAAAAATGCGAATAACCGAGTTTTTGGTTTTGATTTTTATTTTTTGCAAAAAAAATATTTTTTCACGAAATTTGGTGAAAACTTACCTTTGTATGTCCCTAACATACAGTAATTTTTTTGATTTAAAATATTCATTTTTTCACCTCATATTGACTTAATATCCAAAAAGCACCCTAATTTTCAATCGAAAATTCTCACGTCAAAATATCTGCTTTTTTAAAAAAGTTGGGGTGGCTTTTGTTTGTTGAAATCTCTACTTTCTGATGGTATAAAAAAATATACACTACTATGGTAAATGTTCTCAGAAAATGCAAATTAATAATGAAAAAAACTCGAATCCGAAAATCCTATTTTTAATACCTACTTACAACAACTATTTTTGCATGTTTTATGGATTTGTAATTTTTCTGTTTATCAACATAACATAAAATCTTACGTTTTTCGAGTAATTAAAGTGTAAATTTTAATAAATAGTTCAAAATTATACATAATGATTCAAATCAATTTTTCGGATTGGAGTTTTTTTTCATTATTAATTTGCAGTTTCTGAGTACATTTACCATAGTAGTGTATATTTTTTATACTATCAGAAAGTAGAGATTTCAACAAACAAAAAACACCCCAACTTTTTTAAAAAAGCTGATATTTTGACGTGAGAATTTTCGATTGAAAATAAGGGTGCTTTTTCGATATTAAGTCAAAATAAGGTGAAAAAATGAATATTTTAAATAAAAAAAATTACTGTATGTTTGGTACATACAAAGGTAAGTTTTCACCAAATTTCGTGAAAAAATAATTTTTTTTGCAAAAAATAAAAATCAAAAACCAAAAACTCGGTTATTCGCATTTTTCACATAAATTTTGAGGTTATGTGAAAAAAGTGTCGATACAAAAGATGTAGATCTTTTTATTACCTACAACTTTGCCATTTAACTTTTTTTCATAGGACTTGCAGTTTTACCGGAAATCGAGATTAACCATTTTTTACCCTTAAAAACTCACCCCCTCCCCCTTCCCGACCTCAGATCACCTTTTCTAATGGGTTTCATCCTATTATAATTTTTATTGGTCCCAAAAATTATCGACCCTGGTCTACAATGTTTGTTTAACATTTTTCTTTTTCATGTAGGTAATTCTAATTTTGATGGTTTGTCCACAATCTGATGCTGATAATTAGCATAGTGTAATTAGCAAGTCAAAAAAAATACATTAGTTTCTAGTAATCAAAAATATCTTAAAATTCAGTGTTATTTTTTCTATCCTCTATTAACGTAAATATTAAATAGTCTATCGTAGATGAAACAAGCCTGTTCGCGCGAATATTAAAATGGTGTGCATAACGCAACATCTGCAATTGGCTCTATCTGGATCTGGACAAATTAAATAGTACATTGTTCACCGAGAGGAGAAAGTTACCGATTACCAACGAGGGTGTACATAGCTTGAGGCCCTAAGGCGCAGCCAAGGGCCCAATAACACCCAAGTTGGGAAAAGCACATTCTTTCGAGGGATACATAGTGCTTTATTCTATACCTCTGAGGAAATAAAAGATTTGATTGAAATATATATTTAAGTTCTACAGATACTAAACTTGTGCTTGGGAGCTTTATATTGGTTTCTTAAATTAACGGATAAAGGTTCTCAATAACTACTTAGGTATTTTCTTTTAATTCTGGCGGTGTCAATAAATCTTCATTATCAGTAAAATACGCCGTCGCGAGTAGATAGGAAAACAAATTAAAAGCTCAGTTAAAATAAAATAATGAGCACGCTTTTTAAATTTGTTCTTTTATCAAAATTAATTCAGAAAACAAACAACATAAACTTTAAAAAAAATTATTGCAATCTGCCAAATCATACTGACGATATTTCGGAAGATAAATTAAAAAAAAACAGCAAGGAACAATGCATTTCTATAGACTTTACTATCCGCTCAGCGCGTTAAAAATGGATTTCCATACACTTTTCCAGCCCGCTTAGTAATACAAAAGAAATGAGGTCCTTTCAGCTTTCAACAAGAATATAGCACTTTGCGAGCACGTGTAGTATAAAGAACATTATTTTAGTACAGTCAATCTGTCGAAAAAAAAATCGTTTCAGTGAAAAAAAAACCTAAAGAGTAAGTCTTGTTTTTTCTGTTGCCAAATGACGTCAGTAAGCCACCTTGGCGATGGGCATGTTCAACTCGTAGCCGTTTTTTGAAAAACTCGAAAAAACCCTCAAAAATTTTTTGAAACGCATTTTTCTTGTTTTGTTTGCATTTTAGAAACTTTTTTTTCTACCATAATTGTAGAGGGCGTTGAGTACTACAATTTATGTCATTGTTGCAATCTCATACAACAAAAAATGCGCATTGTAGGTGGCGCTAAAGTCTCAAAAAAAGTGTTTTTTCACTTTTTCACCCTGAAAATATCATTTTAATGGAAAACTTTAAATGGAAAATTTGTTCCGTACATAATTACCAACAACTTTGGTATAAACAATTTTTTTTAAATTAATCAATCAATCAATCAATCAATACTTTATTGCGTTCTACAATGTTTTCTTAGATCTTAGTAGGTACATTGCTTTGATCATTGTAGACCCTAAACAGGGCACAGCAAATAGAGAAGAGGACGCATTCACTAATTGTAATTTACGAGTAGTTAGTACGTATACAATTTACCAGCCAAATACGATAATTTTTTACCCAACAAATAAAAATATATTAATATCAACATTATTTATTCATTTTAGCTTAATATTATACTATATTATTTGAATTATTATCTATGTCATATTCTATAGTATATTATGTTATATTTATATTCAATTTTATTATATACAAATTAAATTAAATTAAAATAAATTAAATGTCAGGTAAAAAATTAAATTGTAGATATCATTACTTTAAATTATTATTTTCTAAAAATTCCTTAACCGTGTAATAACATTTGCTTAATAGTAGCTTTTGAATTTTTCCAATGAATATATTATCAACCTTTTCCTCAACTAACGTTTTAGGTAATTTATAATGAATTTTGACAGCCATTTGAAGTGGACCAGATAAGTTGATTTTCAGCCTTGTAGTTGGTATAAGCAGTTTATGTCCATGTCGTGATGTGTACCGTAATGATGTATCATTTCGCTTTTTAAAAAAATTTGGATATTTACGAGTGAATTTACAAATCTCTAATATGTAAATACAGGGCAAAGTAAGAATCTCGAATTTTTTTAAATATGGTTTACAACTGTCTGTTTGCTCTATGTTCGCAAGTATACGAATGAGTTTCTTTTGAGCTAAATAAGGTGGTACTATCAACACTGCTCCCCGACAAGATTACCCCATAGCTAAGCCACGCGTGAGCATAGGCATAATATGCAGTTTTGGCCGTTTCTAAGTTCGTTGTTTTTTTAGTCTCTCGAAGAGCGTAAGCAAAACTTGATTATTTAGATTTAGTAGCCGCTATGTGAGCTTTCCAGTTCAGGTGCCTGTCAATAATCACGCCTAGCAGCCTAAATTGCGTCACTAACTCGATGCATTTGTTATTATATATAAAATTTACTGGTAATGTATTTTTTTGGGGTGGATGGAATATCATGAGTTTTGTTTTTGAATAATTAATCTCCAAATAGTGTTCGTTCATCCAGTTAGATATTTTATCGAATAAATTAGTTATATTTTCATGTAAATCGATAGTATATATATATATGACGTAATTAAAGATACATCATCTGCAAATAAAATATTTGGAACTTGGATGTTTTTTGGAAGATCGTTGATATATATTAGAAATAACAAACATCCTATTACGCTTCCTTGTGGTATAGACGAATTCACTATTGTACAATTTGACCGGATGTTTTGTATTGTTTGGGTATTTTGATTGTAGTATTCTATATCAACATATTGCTCTCTGTCCTTTAGATACGACGTGAACCACTTATGCGCTGTACCTCGTATACCTATGCTATAAAGTTGACGTAATAATACATTATGCTGTACTTTCTCATAAGCTTTCGTCATATCCAACAGGACACCAACCGCATATTCGCGATTATCTAGAATTTTTAATATTTCCTCAGTATATTTATAAACGGCTAATGTAGTGGACCTATTTTTTCTAAACCCATTTTGGCATTCGTTGAATATATTAAACTTTTCACAGAAATTATAGAGGCGATCAGACATCGCCTTTTCAAAGATTTTTAAGGCTGTTGGTAACAAGGCCTATAATTGTTTGAATCAGTTACATCTTTCTTTTTATGCACAGGTTTTATAACTGTTTGTTTAAGTAGCTTGGGAAACTCTCCTTCCAAAAATGATTGATTAATTAGCATAGTAAAGGGTGTTGCTAACACATCAACACAAGCCTTAAACAAAGTTGGAGGTAGCTCATCTATACCGCAGCTTGTTTTATTTTTCAATTTGGTTATAATTTTGTGTACTTCACGGTAGTGTACTGGTCTAAGAAATAAACTATTTTCAAGATGATTTGATACTGGCGGGCTATGTTGCTCTATCCGACCGTTTCTTTGCAATTCTCCAATAGATGCAAAAAAGGTATTAAATATTAAATATATTTGCAATTTGTACAGGATGCGAGTACATATTATTATTTATATTTATCTTTACGTTTTGCTTTTGTTTGTTTATTTTTTTAATCGTTCTTTCATTAATAATATGCCACATGGTTTTAAATTTATTATTTGATTTCTTCAATCGTTTTACGTATTCCAACCTTTTTGCAGTCGCTACAGTCTTTTTTAATATTTTTTCGTAATGTTTATAATATTTTTTAATAATGACATTATTAGAGGTAGAAGATAATATTTTCAGCAATCTTTTGTTTCTACACGACTCTTTTATTCCTACAGTTAGCCAGTACTTTTTATGATTTTTACTCAATCGGATTTGACGTTTAGGTATACAGTTGTTTAAAGTATTTACTAATATATTATGAAAACAATTATAATTTTCATTTATGTTTTTGTGTGGATGAATAATATTATTCCAATCCATCTGTATAAGTTGGTTTTTAAATTGCTCTATATTATTTTTATTGAAAAATCTTTTTTCTGCATACCAAGTTGAAGATTTTGTGAATTTAGGCAATTTTAAATGTAAGAGAGTTCCAGCATGATCTGAAAAGCCAAGTTCTTCTACCGTAGCCCACAGGTGTTTATCAATAAAATTTGTAAAGATAAGGTCTAGGCATGTTGATGTAGATTGTGTAATGTGAGTGGGTTCCTTTATGTGTTGTCTAAACTTATACTCCAACATTAAATTTAGAAATTCGCTTGTTTTATTGTTATTTTTTTGAAGTATATTAATATTAAAATCACCCCCAATAATAATATTATATTTTGAATATTTATTATTTATGTAATTCAAAATTACGTTTAATTGATAGTTGAATGAGTCCTCCTCTCTCCTATTCCAGTACATAACTATAAGCAAAATATTTTGTTTTGGAAGTTCTGTTGCACACACTTCTAGTACATAATCGATAGAAAGCTTCTCTATGTCTCGTCGCTCTACGTAGTGGATGTCCTCTTGAAGCAGGAGACAGACTCCGCCCCCCATATGACTTCGCCGGCAGTACGATGCAGCCATTCTGTATCATATCTATCTTTTCTTTAGATAACCAGGACCCTGATACACATGTAGCTTGGTAAGAAGGATTTTGATCAAGAAATGCTTGTAAAAGATGGTTTATTGTATATGCTTTGGAAATTTTGAAATAATATTTTAAAATGTGTTTCATTGTTTCCGAAAGGAATTATTTGTTAGATAATTAGTTTGTGTAGATTGTTGTTGCTGGGTCTCATTCCAAGTTACTCTCTCTATAACTTTTCCATTTAAAGTTTTCCATTAAAATGATATGTTCAGGGTGAAAAAGTGAAAAAACACTTTTTTTGAGACTTTGGCGCCACCTACAATGCGCATTTTTTATTTTACGAGATTGCAATAATGACAAAAATTGTAGTACTCAACGCCCTCTACAATTATGGTCGAAAAAAAAGTTTCTAAAATGCATACAAAACAAGAAAAATGGGTTTCAAAAAATTTTTTGAATTTTTCAAAAAACGCCTACGAGTTGAACATGCCCATCGCCAAGGTGGCTTACTGACGTCATTTGGCAACAGAAAAAACAAGACTTACACTTTAGGTTTTTTTTTCACCACTCAACCTACAGATTGACTGTACTATTTGGCCAATCCCTTTCTACCCGACTGCGCACGCGAGCAGCGCGAAGCGCGTCGCGCATTCAGGGAATAATGTTGTTAATGTTTATCAGTCTATTTATTTATGTTTCTTTGTGGCACACTAGACACCAAACGCGTTGACCGATTTTGATGGTTCATACATATATTGATTCGTCTTGATCATGGGAGTGCTGCTAAAGAAATTTAAGTATGTATTCGAAATTCAATATGGGGATTAATGGATTAAGCGAAAGAAATAAGTTGTTAAAATATATTGAGTGGGGTATTATTTTCTAGAAAATCGAATATCAAGTTACCTCAACTTGATTTTCGATTCATCTTATATCATTTTTCATTTTAAAAGACCGTTTAGGATTTGTAATGTTTTAAATTTACTACTTTTAAAACTTTCCACTAGTGAAGTTACAAACAAACAAATCTTGCCGCTTAGTAATATTTGTAGGATAATAAAATTGAACTAATGAAAACAATTTAAAAATAAACAGATAAACTAAATAAGTAAATGGTTTATTTGGTACTTAAGTGGGGTAATTTTGTTTGTATTCTTTTTTTGCTGATATTTTTGGGTAAAAGTAACTTGTCATTTAATTTGATAAACAAAAAATTCGTTATAAGCTAATTTATACAAATTTTGTTTGGTTATTTTGTTGGTAATGGTAAATAATTGATATAAATTACCCCTATTGTGATTTAGCTACAAAAAAACGTAACGTTTGTAACGCTATGGAAATCTTAATCAAGAAGTAGTTAATAAAATATTATAAACTTTGCTTTAGTGATTGTATAATTGTTTAATTTTGCGATGTAAGGCAGTTGCCATCAGTGTCCAAAGCAATAGACGGTGCTTAGTGCTTTCGTTAATCTAAGACATTAACGACATAGATAAAGAAGTATGTATTGTTTATAGGGTAATTAACGTGTGAAGGTAACCTCTGGCATCCATATATTTGACTTCTATGAATTATTTTAATAGAAAAAAACGACGAAACGAAAACGAAACCGACGAAACACGCGGACCAGGCAGCAGATGGGACTCGAACCCGCACCCTTCGCAATCTGGGCGAATGCACTAGAATAAAATTTTGAATTTTTTTTTAGGGTCACTCCCTTACAAGTAATCCGGAGATGATTTTATTTTCATCGTCTACCCCATCGTGTGGAGGATTGTTTGATAAATCCTTAAAATCCTTTAAAATATCTAATAGGTCCCGACAGCTAAAGTAGCATTGTTCCTTGCTAAACAGAGTTATGTGGACTTGTTTTTTTCTTTTTAGTTTTTTTTAAGTGTTTTTTAAGCAGTCGGGTTTTTTTTATTTACCATTTTATTTACCATTAGTTCTGTTTTACTTTGTTCAACCTTTTTCTTTTCATACATACCGTATTAAGTACTCAATAAATTTATAATTTATAAGAGAGCTTGCCTTTCTCACGCCAATATTAGGTGACCTCCAGTCCAGAGAATATTGTTAAATTAAAATGTATCAAAAATCTTATATAAATCGATGTTGCATTTTACCAAGCATATATTTTTAAAATTATGATATCCGTTATTAAATCGAATAAAAGTGTTGAAGTAAAAACCTTTTTAGTCGCCCTAGCAAAAATATAGAGACATCACCACCAAATAAATTTAACACTATATTTCGCAGTAGGTATTAGCACAGAGAGAGCTAATTCTTAAACCGTTTTTCTGTAGTATTGTATTATGATGTGCCTTGGTAGAACCATTATTTTTATCAATATATATTATTCAATTTTATTTTAACAGGTCTTACCTAAAATTAATCACCTTTGCAGATCCTACAGGTGTCCCGAGGGTATACAATGAGAAAGGGGAGCAGATCACCACTCCTTACATTGGTCCGCTTACCCTCGGGTCCAACATAACACTGGTGTGTGAAGTTGTTGTCAGTACGTATATGGGGTTTACTTGAGAGGTTGTTCACTAATTATTCTCATGTAGGGGGGACCAATCTTCACTAGCTTATGCGCGCTAAGTTCACTTAGTTAGGATAGATTAATTCCCCTTTTTGTGTAGATACTCTTCTACCCTCTAGAACAGACACAAATTATTATCTGTCTTATATGATGCACTTTACTCGTACTTGCGAAAAATATTAAATCTTCATCAATATACACTTTATAATTCGTTTGTTTAAAAGTTCAAGTAATGTATCCTTAGCACGAACCAATATCAAATTCGAATAACTTGCGAGTGCGGAATATCATTGTCAAATTTTGTATGGAAACTTGAACAGCAACGCTACAGCGGACGTAACGAGAACTAAAAATCAGTACACATTCGTGCTAAGGGTACTGTACATTTTTATTTTACAATATAATGAATTCGCAAATGAAGATAAAAAAAAATGTTGTCTATATGAGAAAGATAAAACGCTTATTAAATCTATTGTGTAATTTAAAGTACATTTAAACTACCTATATAAGTACTTATGTTTGTTGAACTAAACTAATGCGTGGTTAAAACCTAAAAGTACATTATTGAACTCCTATTCATGACAAAATGTAAACTCACCCACCTACATTGCAGAATCTCTAGATTACTGTTGACACCCTCTTCAATCGGTTTGCTAAAACTGGAGGCAAAGGCTTTGGAACAAATAGCTTAACTCAAGGCACCGCTGAAGAGCCTAAACAATTTTTATGAAGATTCGTATCAGTAAACATAGTAATGTTTGATCAACGAAATTGATTTGTAGTCAGCAAAAAATCTATCTGAACTTGTTTTGTTGTGAAATGCAAGAGTTGTCAAAGCAGTTTGTCTTTCGCTTCCTCGCTTTAAGTATGGAGCTATATTGCTTTTCGCCATAAAAGCTCTCGCTTTGCTTAATAGCAGCACTGTTAGACTATCTGATCTGCTTTTAACTGCTTTTTTGCAGTCTTATAGGAGCGTTTAATTTTAGGTCAAGCACCTACAACTGTTTTGTGGTATCGCAATGGAATTGTTGTCAAAAGAGTGTCCACTGACACTCCGGGAATACTTCGGGAGCATGTTGTGATCTCTGAGGCGCGTAGGGATGAGCTGGATGCCCAGTACCAGTGTACCGCATCCAATGCTGACGTCACAGAACCTTTTTCTGCAACGGTCGTTGTCAAAATGTATTGTGAGTAGTAATCTTAAATCATTTTCGTGTACCGAAGGCTAGGCATGTTCTACCCTAAGTTTAGAATTGTAGCAAACTTCGCTATTATTCGGTGAAAAATCATTCGTATAAATTGCTTTGTTCTTATAATGTTGTTGGTCGCTGCTGCATTTGCAGTTATGTAAGACACTAAATTAAATGATAGTATAGGTTTAACAAAGTCAAAACCATATTCTGTACCCTTACCACTAACCATTATCGAATTCAAATAGTTGAATCCAATCCATTTTATACATTGGTTCGTGCTAAGTGTACTGTACTTTCTTCACACAGTGTCAAATTATTGACTTCGTTAAAGCGTTCTTGTAATTATCTTCTTACAGTGCCTCCATTGAAAGTTGAAATTCGATTGAACAATAACTTCGACTTTGAAGTTGGTCAACCAAGGGTCGTGGATTGTGTGGTCATAGGTTGTGTTCCCACGCCAACTATAAACTGGTACCTTGGCGGGACTCTAGTTAAATCAACCGCTCATAAGGTAATTTTATAATTGTGACGCATAAATCCTTTTTGCTATATAAATTTTAATGGAATGGTCACAGAAACTATATCTAATCACAACTTAATCAATATATTAGTAAAAATTACTAAGTTCTCTGAATCCTTTGATGATGCTCCTCCAAAGTTTTTTTACTTTTAAAGGCAAATCTTAACTCTAACCTGTAAGCTACTTTAGTTATGCTTTCATTTGCTTAAATTTACTTATAAACTCAATATAAGTATAATTATATCGACAAATATTTATTAGGAGTTACACGATGGAAATTACACTGTATCTTCACTAACACTGACCGCATCCATCCAAGACAATTTACGCCAGCTGTCGTGTAGAGTGCACAATGCTTATTTGCAGACCATTTACGAGGATAACGTGACCTTACACGTAGGCTGTAAGTATTCCATCATTAATTAAAACAGTATTATTATTTGATAATCTAGCGGCCGCACAAGACATCGTCCGCCTTAACTTTTGAACCCCGTTGTACCCCTTCAGGGGATGAGTTTTGGGAAATTCTTTCTTAGCGAACTATCCGTTCTGTGGATTCAGCTTTGTGTTGATGGGTTAGTCAGTAACGGTTGCCGTTTATATATACAAATAATTGTATAAGAAATGGTTAAACTAGATGTCATTTATTTGGAAACTCGTCGAGATCAAGATTTTGTTGATAATTTGGGATACGAGTATGATACACTTTCGAGCAAATAATGTGGTCACTCCTATTTCAGAGGCCGCTTTCTTCGGCCGTTTTTACAAATGTTATCATTTCACTTTTTTGATGATAGATTAATATAAAAAGATAAAAGATAGTATTCAAATTAACAAATAACAAAAAACGACAAGGGTTTTCAAGCGACACGTTGTCATTGTTCTAAAGTGTATTTAAGTTTAATTTGTTTCCTATGTAGCAGGCAAACATTATTTGGATATTACAAAAATTAAGCGCTTACAAAATTATTAAAAAGCCAAAGGTCTCAATTCTGCATTTTTGTTTTACTTTGATACACTAACTACACAGCTTACAAAATATTGAACTATCTTCTCAGATAACGAAATTAGCAAAATGAAATTGCTCTTTAGAGATTTTTTTTTTAAATCAACTTATGGGAAAAAAAGTCTTTCAGATCCTTTTGTAATTCACCAGACCGTCCTAGGTGTACGTTCACGAAAGAACAGACTGTCGGGATTGTGAATGGAGAGGCGGAAACGATCATGTGCCTCGTGGAGAGTGCCCCTGCGCCTGTACAATTCACCTGGGTGTTCCCTGACTCCAGGATACTGTATACCAGCGCCACAGTGAGTTACACTATGCTCCATATTCCATACTGTTCCCTTAGCACGAACAAATATCGATTTCATTATGTTTAAGAGTGCGAATCGTCATTGTTTTTTTTATGGAAACTTAACGAGACGGACGTAACGAGAATTGAAAATTAGTAGCACAAACTTCTTGACATTTGACGCGTATCAAGATCAAATGAATCGTGCTTAGGGTACTGTTCACTAGCACTACAGGGAGATACTTTATATGCTCTATACACCATATTATACATTACTAAGACAATGAGATATATGCTCCATACACCACATTGTACACTACTAAGACAATGAGATATATGCTCCAAACACCACATTTTACACTACAAAGACAATGAGATATATACTCCATACACCATATTGTACACTACTGAGACAGTGAGATACATGCTCCATACACCATATTGCGCACTACTAAGACGACAATGAGATACATGCTCCATACTCCATACTGTACACTAACATGACTGTGAGTTCAGTAAATGTTTCATACTCAATACTGTACACTACCACAACAGTGAGTTATATCACGAAATAGATATAACAGAAGGTAATAATATACATAACATACAAAGTGCGCTCTAATATACATACAAAGTGCGCTCTAACAAGGCACACATAGACACCATTCACGGACACGATATCTCGAACCAGTTCATACCACTGCGAGCGCCAGTGTCTTCCGCTTAAGACACGCGTCTGTGAACTGCAGAAAAAATGAAGGAACAAAAACAAGTTAATATATCTGTTCATTAGACGGTTGTTTGAATTCAACATTAAGCGGTGAATTATATATTTTTTAATTTGTAATATAACAACAACTTTTTTTTTTAATTATTATTATTATTGGTTTATATTTCCGTTCTTTCTGTTTCATTCTCGACAATAAATCAAAGAAGTAACTAAATACGAGTGCCACTACCGCGATAGTTTTGTGTGCATAAGCCTTGGTATGCAAAGTGAAGTACATACATGAGATTACCTTCTGCTATATCTATTTTGTGGTTATATGGTTATAATGCCCAATACTCTGTACTGTACACACTAATAAGGGGTGCCGCCTAAGGGGTATAAGGGGTGCCGCCTAACACCCAACGGCACCCAAGCCAACCTCACCTGCCCGCGGTGTACCCTGCCGACCAACGGACGAGGCTCTGGCGCTCCCCACCAACCGGCACTGGGCCAGCGTGGTGGGAGACGGCCCAAAACCCCCCCTAAAATGATAGTACATAAGAAGAGGCCCCAAGTGCCCGGCGGTGCTGGAGTCCGTGGCGGCGCTGACGGACGCCGACTCGGCGCCGGGACCAGGGGTGCGAAGAATCCCCGGGCGGCAAAAGTCCCCCGTCAAACGACCTTGGCCCTGGCAACGTACAACGCACGCACACTACGGACCGAGGAGAAGCTGCTGGAACTGGAGGAAGAATTGAGCAGGATTCGCTGGAGTATTGTAGGACTATCTGAAGTCCGAAGAGAGGGCGAGGACACGATGGTCCTTAAATCCGGCAACCTGCTCTATTTCCGGGAGGGCGAAGATCTGTCCCAGGGTGGTGTCGGGTTTGTTGTCCACAAGTCTCTCGTGAACAATGTTGTACAGATCGGTAGTGTGTCGAATAGGGTGGCGTACCTTATACTCAGAATCACCAAACGGTATTCGTTGAAGGTCATACAGGTATACGCTCCGACCTCGACGCACCCCGACGAGGAAGTGGAAGTCATGTATGAGGATATTTCTCGGGCAATGCATGCTTCCAGGACCCATTACACCGTTGTCATGGGGGACTTCAACGCAAGGCTGGGCAAACGTGGCGATGATGAGTTGAAAGTGGGGCAATTTGGAGTTGGAATCCGGAACTTCCGAGGTCAAATGCTAGCCGATTACATGGAGAAGGAGGGACTCTTTATGATGAACTCCTTCTTCAGAAAACGGCTGCATCGAAAATGGACCTGGAAAAGTCCGGATGGCGTGACAAAAAATGAGATTGACTTCATCATGTCGACTAAGACTCGGATATTCAATGATGTCTCAGTGATCAATTCGTTCAATACGGGAAGCGATCACAGAATGGTAAGAGGCACATTGAATCTAAATGTCAAAGCCGAAAGGAATCGACTGATGAAGTCCACGCTCCGTCCTGAAGCCATCCAGATCCAAAACCCCGAGCGCTTTCAACTCGAACTGCAAAATCGCTTCGATTGCCTAGAGAGCTGCGTAGACGTGGACAATTATAATGACAGGTGTGTTGAAGCTGTCCTTACGGTGGGCTCGAAGTTCTGCAAGCCCATCCGTACCAAAAAACGTAGCAAGATCTCGGAGCCGACTCTCAAGCTCATGGAGAAAAGGCGTGAGATGGGTCTGCAGTCCTCTGAAGATGCACGTCGGCAGCTCAATAGGCAGATTTCGAAGTCTCTGACTCGCGATGTACGCCGCTTTAATACTGATCGTATTAAAGAGGCCATCGAGCGGAACAAAGGCTCGAAAGTGTTCGCAAGAAATCTGTCTCTTGGACAGAGTTTGCTGACGAAGCTGAAGACAGAGGACGGCAGAATCATTTCGTCGCAACCTGAGCTTATGGCTGAGATCGAAAGCTTCTACGGACAGCTATACGCGACATCACGAGTACCTGTCACAAAGGCGACCGACCCAAGAGCCAAATTAACCCGACACTACACCGAAGATATCCCGGACGTCAGCCTGTACGAGATTAGTGTAGCTCTGAAACAGCTCAAAAACAATAAGGCGCCGGGTGATGACGGAGTTACAGCCGAGCTTCTGAAAGCAGGTGGACGACCAGTCTTGAAATCTCTTCAGAAGCTATTTAACTCTGTCATACTCGAGGGCAGAACGCCTAGCGCATGGCATAGGGGATTGGTGGCGCTTTTCTTCAAGAAGGGCGACAGGGCCCAATTGAAGAATTACAGACCCATCACGCTCCTGAGTCATGTATACAAGCTGTTTTCGAGAGTCCTCACGAATCGTCTCGCGCGCAGGTTTGACGACTTCCAGCCTCCCGAACAAGCCGGATTCCGAAAAGGGTTTAGTACCGTAGACCACATCCATACGCTGCGGCAGGTTATACAGAAGACCGAAGAGTATAACCTGCCATTATGCTTGGCGTTTGTGGACTACGAGAAAGCCTTCGATTCGATCGAGACATGGGCCGTGCTTCGGTCACTCCAAAGGTGCCAAATAGACTATCGATACATCGAAGTGTTGCAGTCGCTGTATGAAAACGCCACTATGTCAGTTCGACTCCGGGACCAAAGCACGAAGCCAATCCAGCTACAGCGTGGTGTAAGACAGGGTGACGTTATATCACCGAAACTGTTTACAGCTGCGCTGGAAGACGTTTTCAAACTTTTGGACTGGAGCGGACTTGGCATCAACATAAACGGCGAGTACATGACGCACCTTCGATTTGCAGATGATATCGTAGTCATGGCTGAGACCATGGATGACCTTGGCACAATGCTCGGCGACCTCAGTAGGGTGTCCCAACAAGTGGGTCTCAAAATGAACATGGACAAGACGAAAATCATGTCGAATTCCCATGTCGTACCCACTCCAGTGACTGTTGGGAGCTCTACACTGGAAGCTGTTGACCAGTACGTATACCTGGGACAAATAGTCCAACTGGGTAAGTCCAACTTCCAGAAAGAGGTTAATCGACGAATCCAACTCGGCTGGGCAGCGTTCGGGAAGCTACGTAGCATCTTCTCGGAACATCTACCGCAGTGCCTCAAGACGAAAGTCTTCAATTCGTGCGTGTTGCCAGTGATGACATACGGAACCGAGACGTGGCCGCTTACAATGGGTCTTGTAAGAAGGCTCAAAGTCACCCAAAGGGCAATGGAGAGGGCTATGCTCGGAGTTTCTCTGCGTGATCGAATCAGAAATGAGGAGATACGCAAGAGAACTAAAGTCACCGACATAGCCCACAGAATTGCAAACCTTAAGTGGCAATGGGCAGGGCACATTGCTCGCAGGACCGATGGCCGCTGGGGCGGAAAGGTCCTCGAGTGGCGACCGCGTACCGGGAAACGCAGTGTTGGCAGGCCCCCCACAAGGTGGACCGACGATCTGGTAAAGGTCGCGGGAAGCCGCTGGATGCGGGCAGCATGGGACCGATCGCTGTGGAAATTCATGGGGGAGGCCTATGTCCAACAGTGGACGTCTTTCGGCTGATGATGATGATGATGATGTACACACTAAATAATAAATGCAATAATATTACGTCTGAACTATTCTCACCCGGCAATATATGTAATTATCAATTACCATTCAGACTATCCAGCGGCTACATAAAATAGCTCGTTTTGCGTCGGTTGTTTATTTTGATATCTGCTGCTCAATTACTTATACGTTGAAATATATAAGGTAGGTAGACAGTGGAATATAAATTTGTTTGAAATTAACCGTGAAGTTAACATTAGTGTAAGCAGTCATTCCAATTTCATGTGTCTTAAAAAATCATTAGATGCTAAAAATGTTAAATTATTATCACTCAGATTTTTTATTTTCATAAAGCGTTGCTTTTGTTTTTAATATAAATGTATACATATTATGTCACTAATTGTGCACACATGCCGATCTATGCGGCGAGTTCAATCATGTCGAAAAATTTAATAGAAAACAAAAGTAATTTAATACAAAGCCACAATATATACTTCAAATAGAATATTTTTTGTGCATTTCAATGAGTCAGCTTTTCAGTTTACCTACACCAAATTAGAAACGTATTTAAATCGCGCTTATATGAAACTTGTAAAAACGTTCAGTTGATGCATTAACCTTAGATTAAAATAAAAAGAGCAAATACGGTACGCTCATACTAGCATCAAATAAAATATGATCCGACTCAATTACACAAGCAACTCTCGCACATGCCGTGTGCATGTATATAAATATTCAATCGAGCGAGCGAGACAGAACTATACGCTACAACGTATACATATATAGGGTTTTTCAACAAGAACTTTGTTTTCTAAAACAAGATAAAACTAAAAAATTGAGATGAAGATGATTATTCTAATCTTTTATTGAATTACAAAGAGAAAAGTTCGGCAATTATGAATGAAAAATGATATCTTGCAAATATCCACCACGAGCACGCTGACAGATGTCGATTCTTCCATCAAAGTTTTTAATCACTGTTTGGCAAAATGGCGGGACTACTTCGTTAATCACATCACGAATTATGAGTTTTAAGGCTGCAATCGATTCGATTACCCCGTATACACTCTTTCCTTAACATAACCCGACAAAAAATAATCTAGTGGTGTTAAATCACATGATCTGGCTGGCCACTTAACAGCTGAGTTTAGTGAAATTATGTGATCGAGAAATTTGGTTTGCAATAAATTGAGCGTTTCATTGGGTATGTGACATGTGGCGCCGTCCTGTTGAAACCACATATCAGTGATATCCACGTCATCAATAATAGGCCAAAATTCGCCATTTGGTGGTTCTGGGTAACCCCAATTGTTGAGAACGTCGCAGAATTGACAAATTTGGATCTGCCTCAACACTGTGGCTCACGGCTGCGATGCTTTCAGTTGAAACACGCGATGGTGTACATATACACACATTTTGTATCGAGCCTGTCGACTCAAATTTCACGACCAAATTCTTAATAGCGGTCTCAGCAGGACGATTTGTTGTCCGAAAATATCACGAATTTGACAAAATGTAACTGTAACAGAACCACTATTTTCACAGTTAATTATTTTAATTTGATTTTCAAGCGAAATAGAATTCATTGTTACAATTGCCAATGCATCTGCTACGAATACGTCAAAAACTAAATGTGAAAACTATCATATTGTTGGTGTAGCCACAATTCAAAAACAAAGTTCTTGTTTAACAACCCTATACATATTGTTGTCCTTTTCTTGATACAAAATGGCGATTACGTAAATAACATTCACGACAAACCGTGATTTTTGATGACAAATGATTCTGCAATTTTTCGAATGAAAAGTGTTGCCGAGGCATTTGTTATTTGATTTTGAACTATTTGTGTTCGCTATAAAAGCATCGAAGGCATTGTTTTATCTTCGTAACACAGAATATACGCAATATTGTTATAATTGCGTGCACATGCAGCGTGTCTGAATGTCCAATTGTGATTAAAGCGAATTATGGTCATGCACCACAATTTAAGCGGATCACCTTTGAGCCGCGAGTGCCGTATCTTCCCGTTTTGTTTTAATTTAAGGCCTTAATGTTTGTGACTGAATTTCAGAGGGTCAACGGCAGAAAAAACCAATATTGTTCTTCTCTCACTTGGATCCCACAAAATGAAGACTTGGGTTTGCTATACTGCCGCGCTGTCAATATGTATGGCGAGCAAAGACTGCCTTGTGTGTACTCTCTCACTCTAGGAGGTACTCCACAACCTCCCAACTGCGATGTCGAAGGATCTGACGACAAAAAGAAAATAGTTTGTCAAAAAGGTTGAACAAGCTTTCTTTATTTAGGTCTTCCTCTGTTTATTTTTAATCATTTAATTTTTAATACTTCGATCAAGAACACCTCGGAACCATCTTAACCGCTTAAAAAAAGCCAGCTACCGCTAACCGGAAAAGTAGGGTTAGTTTTAGAGATATCGATCAATGACTGGATAAGAGCTTGTGTTATGTGATTTCTTTAGTTTGATCCTGATCGAAGTTTTAATTGCATGTGTGTGCCCTTTGCTATATATTACTGCTTTGCGAATGTTGTGACGCTATGCGAACTAACAGTGGCGAAATGTGTACTTTACGATAGAAAATATAACCAGGACGAGATGAACAGTCAAAGTAGTTGAAGGCTTAAACATTTCTAGGTATAAAACGCTGGTAGTCCTAAATAATATCTAGAGTTTATATTTAATTGAGAAATAAGCTCTAGCGGATATTGGCCTAAAAGTGGCTTGCCACCACCTGCCTCTTTAACATAATTTCTTTAACAGCAATGTTACATTCACCAAAGTACTTACTTGGTTATGCTTCTTACTGCTTAGAGGATAACGTGGCCCATTCATATATAGATAAACGACTAATAGAACCAATACTAATACCAAACAATTCCCTGGTATGCATATATGTTATCAAAACTATTTACATAACTCTAAGTAAAATGCTCTCATTGAATGCTTAGCTTTATCCGAAATTTGTTTTATGTTGAGCGAATAATTTTTTTTCTGTTAAGCAATTTATATTTTTTGACACAATTTAAAAGCTTATTAAATTAAAAAGTAATCCTAAACCAGAAATGATACAAGCACAGCTAACCGCAATTTGACTAGACCAATCAAATCAAAATGCGTTGCATCAGTTACGCATTATATCATACACGAAATTAGTGAAGGAGAATTAAATATTAAGGATCAATTCATACCTGACAATTTACTTACTTCACTAATTTCTTGCAATCGGAAATGTAACAACTAGGATGGGACGGTGGTCGAACTCAGACTGTGCATCTCGAAGTGTTGACTCTCGACGGTGTGGTGGTGCACAACACGACTGATCCCTGCGGCAACTTCTCAATACCTGCGATGGATCAGAACGTCACTGCCACAGTTTACTCCAGCAACGTCAGAGGAAAGAGCGCAGAATCAACAATCGATCTTAACTCCGTGATTTCTGCTGATTCCAGTGAGTAACAACTTTTTATAGGGAATTAGGAAATGCTGAAAACATGCATGAGGACATCTGCGAACCTGCGTCTTCAGGATAATGGTTATCATGAGTCTTGTTGTGCGTCTCAGTTCCTTTTTGTCCGTTTATTATACTAAGCAGTTTCACTATGGAAACTCACTAACTATAAGTCTTTGCTTCGGAACGATTCCAATATTCCAATCGATTGTAACTCACAGTACTTGATATACTATAATGTCTGACGTCATACGTACGAATATCATATTTGGCAAAAATTCAGAAAGAAGTTAGAACATTTATATGTAGGTACTCAACCAAAACGATGTACCTACCGTGATAACTTAATATACATATACAAAAGCATTAGATAAGTAGAGTTCGAAGCTGGTTAGAATAGCTATTAATCCAACTAAAAATAAGCCAAGATCTATGCAGTGAATACTCATAGAAAATGTTATAATGCATACAAAGTTACTTAAGAATTTGACTCATTGACAATCATCGAACGTCAAAACTAGTGATGATCAACTGAAAATAGTTTCCATTGTGCATAATGTTACAATGCCACGGTTATACCAGGACTGGTCAACACCTATTTTCTAGGAATAAACTTAAGGAATAAACATTTATCTGAACAATGGCGCCTGCCAGTCCTCTAATGGTTATACCAAGTAGACGTGTTTACATTCTCTATAAAAGCGAAGGTAGACTTGTTAGTGTATAGAATCAAAACAGAAATTCCAATCTCTGAATCACAGGCAGGCAACTTACCAAAGCTATCCTAAACATTTTAATTAGTTCCTGGCGACAAGAGATAGCATAAGATCAATCAAGCAAATCTATCGATCGATTTAAACGAGGTATACAAAGGACATTGTTCAGCGTCCATACATAGTTAGCCTAAGAACCAACAATCATGAAATATTATTTTCTAGGTTCAAAATCGTAAGTAAATGACTGTAAAAACAAAGATTATTGACGGACACTTCTGAGAACTTAAATTATTAGGAAAACTAATTTTTTTTTAAGGTTATGTTTAATATTCAATGAAACATAGGTCAAGATATGAATTTAGTATGAACTCAGTATGAAGTGAATTAATATTACAACTAATTCATTTTATCCGGTGCGATTTTAAAGAATAATTATTAGGAAAAACTTGGTTAGGTAGGAATCATGAATAAAATAAAAACTGTAGTTTTGCTTCTTATTTATTGACTATTTTTCACATAATTGTATCATATTGTTTCAAGGACGTATAAAAAAAGGCGGACAGAATTTCGGCTAAGACAAAAGTGAGGCACCGTAATGGCGACGGTTATCTATGAGTGAGTGAATGCAGGGTTGCTAGGTTAGCCAATATTTTACCAATAAAACACAGTAAAAAGATCAAAATATTTTAATTGTTCAAAATTTTACCCGACTGCGGTGGATAATGTTTTTCGAGCGTGTATGCATGTATGTATGCCCAATAATAAGGCGCCAAAATGAAACCTTTAGAAAAAAAATGCTTATAACCCGTCAAGCGAGGTATCAAAGTAAAGGGTCTTAAAAGAATGCAGTGGATCCCCGGTAGTCCGACAAACATTTTGCAGGGCAGTGTCGAACTATCGAATTTGTCGGATTATAGAGTACTGCCTAAGACCCCCTATAGTCCGAATTTTTTTACAAAAGAGTACCTTGTAATCCGACAAATTATAGATCCAATGATAAGATTACAAAACATACTTTGTTATGTATGTCAAATTGAGTAAATTAAACAACACAATAGAAAGATTATGTTTTATTATAAAAGTAACGTCAAATGCTATAGAATTTACAAAAAAATATAAAAAACAATACCCTACGCGTCGAGCACAATAGTGATGGTGCGTACAAGTTGTAACTTGTTCAATCGTGAATTAGCGAATACTTGTATGTAATAGACGATGTCGGATTATAGGGGGTGCCGCATTAGCCAGGGGCCGGATTACCGGGGCTCCACTGTATTTAGAAAATAGGTATGCAAATCGTGTACTTAAAAAAAAATCGTGTTGCACTCGGGGACTGCCGCGGTAAAGCTATTGCATAGCATTATTTGTCAACTTATGCAATAATACTATTTATTTATGCAGTATTTTTTTTCTTTGATATTAATTCAAGTTTTTTCTCTGATATTAATAGATGGCGAGGCAGGCCTTATGATATTTTATTGGGCAAGCACAGCAAACAACAGCATTGCCCGGCGCCAAAAAACTTCCACATGCTCCACAGTTTACCACCTTTAGTCCAAAAATTATAATTATAAAGTCTAAATAAAAGGGAGACAAATAAAAATAAGAACAGGTGCTGGGGTCTAAAACAAATATATAAAAAATGGAAAAAAAATATAATAAAAAATATGACGTATAGAACCTCTTTCTTTTTGAAGTCGGTTAAAATTTTTAATTTACCTTTTGAGGTACTGCATGCGTAACAACACGCCGGAGTCCTCTTTTAGTAGTATATAAGTCTCCAGCTTCAAAATGGATACTGCAAATGACACTATATTTATTTGGAATACATTCATCATCTCCGTTACAATTCCTAATAACTTGGATCCAGTCATTTCTCCATTCTACATTTTCTTTAGGGAATCTGATAAAAAAGAATAACAAATAATAGATTGAAGCTAATGTCACCCCAATTTCCCATATTTTAGGTAATATGGTTACGTGAACATTGACAACACTGGACTTTAGATTAATTATTTTGTGCTTAGAATGAAAATTGATTTCGATTTCTAAAAACTAGAAAAAAGTGATTATATTGTTCATTTACCTATGAAACGTGATTCCTGGATTTTTTTTCTTTCGGTCACTACGGTTTTTACACCATTTTACCACGCAAGACATCTTGTTTTAACTTATTTTTATCTCCACTTAACGTATCGGCTGCTTTGACGTTTGCACGCGTAATGGCTGACTATGGTGTGAATGTGTGTGTGCCGGCTTGTACATATAGCGACCTGGCCGACTCTGAGCGACACAGTTTGTTGTTTACCGGGACTCTGTCCGCCTTTTTTTATACGTCCATGATATTGTTTATTGTATTTATTTGTATATCTCATGTATATTGTGTAAATATGCAGCGTGAATGTGTATCAGGTGTTCTTGAATAATTTGGCAGTATGATCCGCTCGGGATGTTGTAGCACAGGTTCACTAGCACTTGGTAATAAGGTCTCAGCTCTTTGGTAACATCGATGGCATATTAGATAGCCGAAATAGTTTAATTAAAGGAAAAACAATCGCAAATAAACACACACAACAGGTAATCCGAAAGGAGAATGCACTTTCCGGTATATTATACTTATCTTTGGAATGCACGAATGCCACAGATTACTACGAATGCAAACTGCATGCACCACAACCACAGAGTAAAGAGTTTTATGCCGGCCCTTCACTTGAAAACAGTTTGTCCTTGTCATGCTTAATAAGGAATGAAAAGGACAGACAATGTCATGTTTTAAAACAGCAAATACGAATAGCCAAGTGAAGTGCCGACATTAGGAAGAAAGTGTTTTGTTTGCAGCGCTGCCATAGATTATACACATAAAATGGTATTTATTGTCTCAGATTATTTTTTAACTTTTTAATTTAGCTTACTTAACTGGAAGTGTCCGTCACAATCTAAATACTGATAATTATCCCAAAAAATATACTAATAATTATCATAAATGCCAAATTGGTGTTGGTTCTTAGGCCAATTTTAACATTGTCCTTTCTTTATTAAACTAAAGACACATTAGGTCAAGTCAATAATTTCTAAACAAAAAACAATAGAATGACAAAATTTACACAAATTGCATGGGAGTTTTAATACTAAATCCTCAACCATTCTCTTTCTCCTTTAGTAAACTATTCCTGCCCCCCTAGCATGAGCACCTCGATATGTTATAGATCGCGTTTTTATCACGCTCAAATGTCAAATTACTATGAAGTTTGGCAGTTAGACGCGATAAAAAACGTGATATAGCGTAAATTGTGGTGCTCATGCTACGGGGACTGACTGAGTAAAGATGCGGTGAGTTCCTAGTAAATTTTCTTTTGATTTTTAATTCATACACCTATATATAGGGTTGTACAACAAGAACTTGGTTTTCTAAAACAAAATAAAACAAAAAAAAATAGATGAAGATGATTAATTTTTTTATTGCATTATAAAGAGAAAAGTTCGGCAATTATGAATGAAAAATGATGTCTTGCAAATGTCCACCACGAGCACGCTGACAGATGTCGATTCTTTCATCAAAGTTTTTAATCACTGTTTGGCAAAATGGCGGGACTATTTCATTAATCACATCACGGATTTTGTGTTTTAAGGCTGCAATCGATTCGATTGGCCCCGTATAAACTCCGTCCTTAACATAACCGCACAAAAAATAATCTAGTGGTGTTAAATCACATGATCTGGCTAGCTACTTAACAGCTGAGTTTAGTGAAATTATGCAATCGGCAAATTTGGTTTGCAATAAATTGATCGTTTCATTAGCTGTGTGACATGTGGCGCCGTCCTATTGAAACCACATATCGGTGATATCAACGTCATCAAGAAAAGGTCAAAATTCGCCATTTGGTGGTTCTGGGTAAACCCAATTGTTGAGAACGTCGCGGAATTGACAATTTTGGATCTGCCTCAACACTGTGGCTCACAGCTGGAATGCTTTCAGTTGAATGACCCTGTCGAACACGCGTTGGTGTTGGCACATTTTGTATCGAGCCTGTTGACTCAAATTTAACGACCACATTCTTAATAGCGGTCCCAGAGGGACGATTATGTTGTCCGAAAATATCCCGAATTTGACTGTAACAGAACTACTATTTTCATAGTGGATTTTAATTATTTTAATTCGATTTTCAAGCGAAATTGAATTCGTTGTAAGAATTGCCAATGCATCTACTACGAATACGTCCAAAAACTAAATGTGAAAACTATCATATTGTTGGTGTAGCCACAATTGAAAAACAAAGTTCTTGTTGAACAACCCTATATATATATAAATCAATTGCTGTTCGTTAGTCTCGCAAAAACTCCAGAACGGCTGAACGGATTTTTCTCACATTGGTCTTGAAATGTTCGTGGAGTTCTAGGAAAGGTTTAAAAGGTGAGAAAATATGGAAAAATTGCGAGGAAGATAGTAAAAACGTTAATTTAATTTTCCCATATAAACTGTTCTATCTTCTTTCCTGTCAAACATTTGACGTTCCTCCCTTTTGGTACGGTAGACACGGGTCCGTCATTTCTTCCAAATTATTTTAACCTGTACGAAGTACGCGGGGTCAACTAGCCTAATATAAAAGACGTCAAACATCCTAGTGGCTTATTAACAAAAAAGTGTTGCTTTCCATCTTTATACCAATCAAGTTTAAATAATAATAATAGGGAATAACTTTCAAAATGATAATTATGTATAAAAATCTGAGACACGAGAATTTTATACATAATTATCATTTTGTTTGTAACAAAACTCTTTGGAAAAGCTAAACCGATTCTTATGAAATTTTGTGTGTATATTCAGTAGGTCTGAGAATAGCACGTTAAGTATTTTTAATACTTACCCCTAAGTGATAAGGATGGTCCACCCCAAAAATATTATTTTTATAATTTTGACAAAAAAATATATTTTAAATTTATATGATTTGGAATTAAAAATACTTCAAACCCTAAATTGTTGTCACCGTCTTACTGTGGCCACAATTCCAACGCGTACAAAGAAATTTGGTGACTCATTTCTTCGTCGCACTATCCGTAAATGGAATGCTCTGCCCGCTTCCCTCCATCATACAACCTGGGATCCTTTAAAAGAGGCGTGAAGAAGCAACATGCAGGCCGGCAGGGTGAGGATGGCTGGTGTTTCAGGTAGAACTGCTGTATCAGCTATCTTCGCGTCTGGACTTCACCTTCACTTAACATCAGGTGGGGTCATTTGTCGGACCTATCTATAAATAAATAAATAAAGTTTCACCCTCCTACCACCAAACCCTATTTTTATAGCGGTACAAAGTTTGCTGGGTCAGCTAGTTAAAATATAATAAACCCGTTCAATAGCATAAAATTTAATACGTATTATCTTGATTCTTATAGGCACTTTTTAGAAATTTGCATTGACTCTTAATACCAACACTGAATTATCCCTCTCTTAATCAAAAGTGTTATAAGTTATAAGACTTCTGAAATATAATGAAAAAGGAAAAACGTCAAAATACCCTGAAGATGGACGGCATTAAGGGAACATGACGTTACCGAAGCGCCCCAAGTGGGTTGGTCCAATCGTGGTTGTGTTTGGTTTTATTTATAATAAGGTAGGAAAATTACTGTACTTACCTGTTTTTTAGTGGTGGTAAGTCCAGACTCGAAGTTAGCTGGTGCAGCATTTAGGCACTGCCACACCAACCATCCTCACGTTTGTGCAGGACAAACTTTTATACGCCTCTTTTAAAGGGCCCCAGTTTGTAGGTAGGAGGGAACATGTGCGCGGGCAAAGCATTCTACTTGCGAATAGGTAGTACAACAAAAAAATGTGTGTGTCTAAAATTAAAATGTTGTTCTTTTCTTGCAGCTCCTGCTTCTAACTCGAAGGCTGGCTTCTCCTGGGGATCTTTCGTGTTCGTGACCTCGTCCGCTGGCGCCGTGCTCGCTGCCTGCATCGGTTTCTGTCTGTGTTGCAGGCTTCTTTGGCGGAAGCCGGGAAGTACTGTGGAGATGGACAGACAGAGAGGCGATGGTAATTGTCTATATAGAACACATTTCTTACGGCCGCACTCAAAGATGTCTTCGGACCAAGGTCACTAGTATGGGATGACCTAAAGGTCTTCATCCTGGCTGGGTGATCTTAGCATCACGGCCCAACGTAAACCTCGGGATTTCGATAGCGCGATGTAGGTTCTCCTTACTAAGCCTCTATTCCATATGGCCACCATTGTGGGCTTGATCTATTGTTATCCACTTAGATATATGTGGGGCGTTTGATCTCGCCGCAACATCAATTACTTTTAACTTTGATCGAATTTGACACATTCTCTGCTCTGTAAATTTTCGCAATATAATAAAATAACACTTCACTTTGACAACTATCAAATTTAATTAACGTCTTTGAGTGCGGTCATTAAATATAAACTTATTCAAAGTAACCACTACCTTACAGGAGAGTGAAATAACATTTCAACTTTTGCAACCTTTGTGGTGTTTTGTTCCTGTAGGTGAATATGGTTTTCAGGACTCCATGGTACATTCGATCGTCACATTTATACATGGTTGTGTCAAATCATGTCTACCAATTTAAATGATTGTAGTTTAGGATTTCTTTTGATAACTCATGTTTTCTGAACCATTATAAGGAGAATTGTGCCTTAATATGTGCTACACACCCACATCAGGACTCCTTCTAGGATCTTGTGTTCCCTTGTATTCATATTAGCAGCGTACCAGACAATGTATGAAGTAGCCTCGTTTATTTAATAAATTAACGAGCAGAACCGTGGACCAGGTTTATTTTAACCACTATTTAATTAAAACTGCTAGATTTTGATAACTTAGGAGAATGTTACTAGCAAAACATTCAACTGGACCCAGTTAACACGTTCGATTATAATTGCTTGAAACTTGGAGGAATTATGCTACCTTGCAGCCTAAGATATCCTAGAAGAAATTTGTCACGGTCATTTCGGTTGATAAAACATGCCTCCATGCAGTCAGGATCAGTATAGAACTCACTCCATAAATAATTAACTTTATAACGGCTCCGTTGCTAGGGAAATAGTAAATGTGGTTTACGCCTCCACAGACATGAGCAGGGAATATCGCAGTCTCCTCTTCTCAACAGTCAGTGAGAGGATTCTCTTTGTGGAGTCTCTCCAGTTTCTCTGAACATCTTCCAAGTCAACCATGCGTGGATAAATAAAAAAAGAAATGAGCCAGAAATGTGTTAATATGCAATAATTTATTGTATCAGGAAAATTATCATTTTTATCTTTTCTGACTTCAAAATTCGTTGAAAGATACTTATCAACATTTGTCCTCATTTTCAGAAATTTCTTTTTTCTCAATCAATTTACATTATTTACTGTGCCGTTGTAAAATTGTTCCTGCCTCTATACCAGGCAGGGTATAGAGGCGGGTATTGATTGTGCATTGAGCTATCAGTCACTTGATACGTTTTAATAAGCTAACATTTACTGTTTAAGACCTAGCAAAGTCAATACGTTTGAAGGTCAATGTGTGCATCATGTGGCAATAATTCTTTGTGAGCGATACAATATACCGACTAATCTGAATCGAGAACAAAACCTTCTAAATATCATAAACATTGATCACCCGACTTTTGCTTCGAGTAGATTATTTCTCAATAGAATTGTTAATTCTACTTGTTTCTATTTGAACATTTCTTTAAATAAACTTTGGGTTTTGTTTACAAGATTTGTTAAAAGATTGTGTTATCACTACTTCATTGTCAGACTGTTCGTCAGCATTTTCACTTTCAAAAATTCTCAAAGCCCTAAACTTAGTGCTCCTGTTTAATGTAGTACCAATGACTTCAAGGTTTATTCCATCGGGAGCCGGATGTAACAAGAGACGAGCGGCCCGCTTCCACCACGATCAACGTACACCAACACGCGACCTGTCAAAACGTGAGACCAGTACAATACAAACTTCCCGATGTGCAGGATGGAACACTGCGATGCAACATTATTACTCAAGCTGACGTAATCAATTAAAGATTTATAGCTTGATCAAATGGAGTTGTGCACCTTTAATTGCTTCTCACTAATAACAGAACGCTTTATAATTACCAGGAATTATAACAAGCTAATCCTAACGCTGCATCCTTTACACGCTTACTAAGTACATACACATTATTTAAATTGTTAGTTTAGTTTATGAGGTATAGGTACGGCACAGTAATATCATCACACAAGCATCAGACCACCTCGTTAAGAATGCCAATCAAATTAAGTTGATGTAATTTCCTATAGCAATGTTATACTACCTATTAATAATTACTGTTTTATTATTAATAGTGACCTGTTCTCGTCTATATTCGACGAAGACTACAGTTTACTATACATCAAAATTTATACATTAAAAAAATTTAAATTAATTAATTATTATTAATTAATTATTATTTTTAAATTAATTTATACATCTATGAAAATATATCTCACACGGTTAATAACGCATCAAAATCCGTTCAGTAGTTTTTGATTTCGACATTATTTTAAAACGTTTGTCCTTATTTTTCCTTTTTTTCGCAGAGCTGGAGTTCGAAGTGTACTCCCCACACGAAATACGGGTGCCACCGGACGGGCTCAACATTGACTACTCAGGAGATGTATGTTTAGATCCAGACACCATGTTATAGGTGTAACTGGGCTAGTATGTACGTGTGTAAATACTCACCCGACGCAGACTGAAAGAATTTCGTTCCTTAAGCCATACCTTGCAGTATTCGCAAAACCGTGATTTGTAAATTGAAAATCTATTAAAATACTAGTGGCCGGCCTCACTTCGCTTCGGTGTAGAGCTGTAGTGTAGACTATATAGTTTTTGTTCTCTCTACATTTTATTTAGAAAACGAAAAGTGCTGGTCTTTAGGATTTTCCTGACAATTGTTCGAATTTTTCTCACCTTTTAAACCTTCCCTAGACCTCCACGAACATTTCAAGACCAAGATCAGATAAATCCGTTCAGCCGTTTTCGAGTTTTAGCGAGACTAGCGAACAGCAATTGATTTATATATATATAGATAATAAAGGCGCTTATACATTTAAGAAATTATAGATCCTGTATAACAAATCACAATTTAAGACCCCAAAGAAGTTAAAAATGAAAGTATCGCAACCAGGAATATGAAAAAATCAAGTAACATCAACAATACGATGTTAGTTTTCAATTTCATCAATGTGCTTATTTTGAACTGGCTCGGCATCGTGATGCTGACAATTAATATTATTCAATCAAACGCTTTAAAAAAAAACAGTGAACTTACCGTTAAAAAAAATTTTGAGGTGTGGTTTAAGCTAACGTTTTCTTTAAGTAAGTGTCGAACGGTATTTGAATGTCTCACTTTTTGTATTTGTTATGAGAGAATAATTTAATATTACTATTTTAGGTATATTTAAGTTAACAATTTCATCGATAAATGATATAGGTTTTTGTTTTAATCCTACTCAAGTAATCCACCACCGCTGTTGAACAGGTGCAACTTACATAATTGAAGAAAAATAAAGCTTCACTTTTGCCTACAAAAAGGTTAATTGTCAAACTGCTTCCTAGTGATGATTATTCGAAGACGAAGCAAAAGATTTTCATAAACTTTCTCCATAAGACTTGGTAAAAAAAAAACTATTTTTTTAACAAATGATTTCAAACATTGTGAATTTTCACGAACAGTAATAAAAAAGCGGCCAAGTGCGAGTCGGACTCGCCCATGAAGGGTTCCGTATCAGCAAGTAACATAATAAAAAAGTTCTTGTAGTTCGTTGTAACTTTGATCAATGTTTTAATAATAGTGTATTTTTTATCGGGAACCTGCCCCCTTCGCGCTCCGCACCCGCTACCGATCAAGCCACGCCCCGCGCGAATTATAACTATTATTTTCTTAGACACCTATTACAGATTTATTATTAGAAAATTTCATGGTTCATGGTTTTTGCATAAGGTTTATGTTCTGAAATTAAATGTTTATTTTTTAAGTTGTTCTGTTGATTCAATGAAAAATAAATTGCAATTTACGACTTATGACGTATTAAAAAAAGACTACTTACTAGAACTCGTTCAAACCAATTTTCGGTGGAAGTTTTCATGTTAATGTACACCATATATATTTTTTTTGTGTTTTTCATTCTCTTATTTTAAAAGTTACAGGTGGGTTACACACATTTTCAAACTATTCAGTTTAGAATAAAATGATATTAGACACCACAATATCATTTTTGAAGACCTATCCATAGATACCCCAAAAGTATGGGTTTGATGAAAAAAATATATTTAATTGACCGTTCTAAGTATGGGGAAACCCCAAAATTTATTGTTTTTTTTCTGTTTTGTGTGAAAATCTTAATGCGGTTCACAGAATACATCTACTTACTAAGTTTCAACAGTATAGTTCTCATAGCTTCGGAAAAAAGTGGCTGTGACATACGGACGGACAGACAGACAGACAGACATGACGAATCCATAAGGGTTCCGTTTTTTGCCATTTGGCTACGGAACCCTAAAAATGAAGCATTATTAATTCACATATGCCCCTTGATTCGAAAACGAACAGCCCAGAGCTATTTAGGACCTCCAGTTTTTGTAAGTTTTTGATATGTTAATGCTAATAAGTCTTAATTAATATATTACTTATTAGATAAGTGCCTTTTTTATTGTTCTAAATCGAAACATTGGGCACTTTTCTTACGTTTACCGTAAGTAAAAAAAGACTGTAATTAAAAATACTGTTAATTAAATTACTTAAAACTTAAAAATGCAGTAAAAAACGGTATTGTAAATGAACTTGACACTTTCGAGACGAAATTACCGTCAGGTTTTGGCAGTAAGCACGACTAGCACAACGGAGTCGGCTTGGTACTCTAACGATCACGTGCTCATTATTACAAATTCGGATTGAAGGAAAAAATAGTGTTAAAAACTTTTGGAAGAACCGCCTCAATGCCGTACTTTTAAAGTAGAGTTCGGTCAATAATACGTCGAAATCCCAGCATCTCTACATCGTTGCGAACTTCTAGTGCAACGAGTAAGTATTGCACTGTTTACAAACTAGAAAAAAAACGACGGGTTGCACTCCGGGAGTGCCGGCAGAAGTGAAAACTTGAATATTAACGTTGTACATTTTTGATATTTTATAATGATTAGGGAATAATTTTGCACGAATTGCTTTAATTATCAGTATAAAAGTACTATCATTTATGTAGTACATTACTATATTTATTTATTGCGCTATCGTACACAAACATGATAATTTATATTACATTAAAAACTTTATCTTTGGGGCTAGGCTAATTGGTGTGAGTATTGGAAATATTATTATTATTACTCTGGTGACCCGCTATCGCTTTGCTTTGGTATGCACTGTGGTGTGGACTACGGTTTTGTTGTCGGACAATATTACAGTTACTTTGTTCAAAATATATTTTTATATAATTTAAAGCTGCACGCACAATGGATACACTACCTATTTAATGAGAACTATGACAACTATGTTAGGCACAAATGAAATATTAGAATTTGAATATAAAATTCGATGATAATAATCGTTGATAAAATAACATAATTTTACTTAGCTGTGTGGAACTCATTACAACACAGTCTCCATAAAGAAAATACATACGAAATTAACCAATATGGAATAAATTACTCCATATATAAGACTTAAAAAATTATACACATATTTTATTTATACAGCTGTTCTTAATAATTTTGTAATCTCTCATAACACTACGAAGGGTGAGCTGAGTATACATAATCACATGATTGTATTTTTGGGAGATTTATTACAAAGTGCTCAAATCGAGTGGAAGTTAGTAAACAAAAAGTATACTACAAATACTTTCTTTAAAATCAAGTTTTAATATTATTTATAAATACAAAAAGAGATTTTATTTAATAAAAAACTGAATAAAATTCCTTTTATGTGGTCTGGAAAATAATTAAAAGTAGCCAAATTTTTATAACAATTTTTATTATTTTATTGCATTTTTTTTTAAATTTTGGTTAAATTTATTTGTTACAATATTAAAGATGAAGTGATGACACTGCCTGCCCGTCTTATGCTTGGACCGCATGGAATTTTACTAGTCATATTTATAAATGTAGCAGTTAAGTGCTGAGAATAAGCATATTAATTCCTTCACTACATAAGGGAATTAACAAAAAGCTTTTACGTAAATAGAATAAATCTACAGAATCTTTTATTTCGCTCAGAATTCAATATGCTGCCCGTGACATAATACACTTCTCTATCGCCTTGACGCTTAATCCAAAATCATTAACTTCAACTCCACTTGCGCCTTTGTAATAAATATATGATCTTGATTTGAGACATACGAAAATATTTGTATATATGATTTCTATTTGCATATTTTTTGTAGAAAAATATCAAAAAGAAAGCAAGTAATATTGTAACTTTTGTAATGAGTATTTGACAAACGTGTAAATATGAGTATAGTTAATCAAATATTATTTTCTATATTTAGGTATACTGAATATTTTTATTAATTAGTATTGTAAAGTAAGTAATTGTACAAAATATCTGAATTCACATATCATAATTATCTTTTTTTTAATTGATTATTTACGACTTTTTTTACCTGCCATTTTAAATAAGCATAATTTCTGATACGTTCATTAATAATACATATCGTATGTCTCAAAAGTTTGAGAATTTTAGAATAAAATTGTAATTAATTAAGTAGTTTATGCAATGCATAGCATTCGTTATCAAAATACCGCTGTATGATACTCGTAGCTGGTCTAGTCAATAACATAATCCCTTACATTTAACAATGTAAGAAGTTAAGGTCTGTGATTATAATTATAATAGAAAAAAAATGTGTGATTTTTATTTAATAATTTTAATAACCCCTTAACTTATAATAATAAGCCTTTAACTAGTTATAATTTTGGTGTTTCCACGTAGTAGTAACGGAAGTAGTTAAAAGACATTTAATTACTTTTCCCTATATCCCCACTTTGAATCCGACAACTTATATGATAAGGGAGTGTTTCCAGATCTAATGAAGTGTGCTAAAGTTATCCCTCTGTTTAAGGCTGGTGGCAAATCAGACCACAGCAATTTTAGGCCTATATCTATATTACCAGCGCTAAGTAAAGTATTTGAGAATATAATTTACAACCAATTACTAGCACACTTTTCTATAAATAAGTTATTTCATTTAAAACAGTTTGGTTTCACCAGAGGCAAAAGTACTACTGATGCTGGAACTGCACTTCTCAAACACATTTTTGATGTATGGGAGAGTAAGCACGATGCTATTGGCATTTTTTGCGACTTATCAAAGGCGTTTGACTGCGTTAGTCATGAAATAAACATTGTTAAATAAAATGAAGCATTATGGTGTATCAAATATTTCACTAAGTCTTATACAGTCTTATCTTTCTGCTAGGATTCAGAAAGTAGTTATAAATGAAGCTGAGTGTACAGGAGCACCCATTTATATGGGCGTACCCCAGGGTGCCATATTGGGCCGCACTCACTTCCTCACTTTACAAGGGATCTGAGGGAGACAGTGCTATTTGCTGATGATAACTCTTTAGTGTTTAAAACTAGAAGAGGAAATTATTGTTATAACGAAGTAATTTGTGCTCTCTCTAAAGTTCTTCGTTGGTTTACGGTAAATAATTTAAAACTTAACTCCAGTAGAACAAAATGCGTTACTTACTTACGTTTACTCTACCTAATGTGAGGCAGGTTAATACTAGTATTAAAATAAAATTAAAATAAATTCCTTTAGAGTTAGTGGATTCTACAAAGTTTCTGAGTATTACTTTAGACTCATCTGCAATGGGATCCTCATATTGATGCCTTGTCAAGTAGACTGAGCTCTGCAGCTTTCGCTGTTAATAAACATAAGACTCTAAACTGATGTGGAAACGGCAAGATTAGTTTACTTTGTTTACTTTCATAGTATTATGTCATATGGCCTTTTGTTGTAGGGCTCAGCTGCTAATATCGAAAGTATTTTCATACTGCAAAAGAGACCTGTTCGCGCCATATACAATTTAAAGGCAAGAGAATCCTTTAGAGAAAATTTTAAAGAAGTAAATATTTTAATACTGGCGTCGCAATACATTTATGAAAATTTAATATATGTAAGAAAAAACTATGATGCATTTGCAAAAAAAAGTCAAACCCATAACTTTAACAAGAGATTTAAGAACAAGCTTGCCGTTCCATGTTTCAGACTCCAAAAATCAAGAAGTTCATTTCTGGGTTGTAGTATTGCTTTGTTTAATGAGCCCTTTTACAAAATTGCGCCGCTCTAGTTTAGGTAAATATGACCGCGAGCGTGTCCGAGTCGCACGAGCGAGACATCGAAGCGGCGAAGTTCAGTATAACGCGCTTTACCAAATTGATACTTTAATATGCAATTATTGATTATACAATAAATGCAAATATAAAATAAAGTTAATTTGAAGTGCTAAGATGGATACCTACTGTAGCAACGAACGATTCTAGATAGGAATCCTGAGTGGAGCAAAGGATACAAGGATTAAGTTTTTTTACTATTGTGCGAAAATAAATAATATATTTATAGTACCCATTGGTTGCGTTTTGGAAATGACAATAAAGATTAATTATGATTATTACTAATTATTGTAACTTTATATGTTTGATTTGCATAACTTCTGTTTGTTCAAATTTTTTTATTCACTCAGTAATTAAATGAAAAGTTTGTTCACTGTTATCGCTGAATGAAATCCCTTTTTCGAGTGGCAATGAGAAATAATATTTTATTTACTTGTATTTTTAGTATTGACTTTTTTAATGATGATTGATGTTTGGTAATAATCAAATATCTCAGTAAAACTGTACTAAGTGTAGTTTTGTCTTTGCCTTCGAAGTTCATTTAATAAAAAAGTTTTCGCACTCTGTATTTTCAATATATCTGTAAGAGTATTTGATAAAAAAATAAAAAGCATGTTTTTTGTATTCGTGTAATTTCCATTCATTTAAACAAAACCCATCAAAAGCATTTAACTTTCATAGGAACTCATCTCTTACACACCTAACTCATGAAATTTTTGCTGCGAGTTCTCGTATGGTAATTTCAGGATAAATAATATGAAAACGGAGCTGGGAAAGTTCACACCTCTTCCATCACTAGCTGCTGTAAAGCACATTCAATAAAATCTGCTATTCTCTATACAATTAATTACTCATCAGTGTTATCAAAGATTATCATCACTGATGCTATCATAACCGGAAGCAGTCTGGTAGTATAACGTATCACGTACAATGTTTGTCTCTTTTTGAAACTGATGATTGATGCTTTGTTTTTCGTAAATTACAATGAAGGTTATATTATAGTTATCTATAATAATATATTATTCTTTGTGGATTATTACGGTGACAAAGGGCCACAATACATTTAATTTTAATAAAAGTATGACGATAATAAACAAAATACTTATAATAACAACATCTGAAATTTCCTCGCTCATTGTCAATTCTATAAGTTCTTATTTCAGCTGAGGTGATATTGATATGTTGACATTTGACGGTCCAACACCCAGTCTGGTGTTTCCAAGTGCAAAATGTCCTGGTATCATTACACGTCCTCCATCAACCATATACTCCTCCTGAAAACAGATTATCTAATTGACTACAATACTGCTTTTATCGACTATCTACGCATATAAACAGATATAGGCAACACTGGAAATACATTTCCAATCCAGACACAGATATTGTACGTAAATCAGCAAGTTAATGTCAATTGAACTTATGGAGCAAAGAAGTCTAAATATAAACTATTAAAAATAAACTTTTTTGCTCTAGAAATGCATCCCATTAGTTTAAGTTTAAAACAAAAAACCAAACTGCTAACATTGTAAACCATGTACCTAGTGTAGTAGTGAAATACCTATTAAGTCAGTATAAAACAAATAAAATATTTAAATTAGAGTTTGACGCTTCCCTTTGTTCCTCGGATTCGATTTCCAATCCAACAGCATTTTTTTCCTATATAATTAAATTTATTATTATAATTTCAATTTCTCTTTTCATTGTCTACTTCCAATAACAACATGAAAAACTTACAGTTTCCGTTGCAATCGAATCCATTGAACTTATGGTCGGTATAGTTTCAATATTTTCGGGGTTGCCATTAAAATTTTGTTTCCATCTAAAATACATAGAACTGTGGATTTCTATTCTAAATATATTATTATGTTGGGCCAATATGTACTTTGGCGGCCCATGAGCTTATACTTGTTATACTTGATCCAAATGCAAAATTTTACCGCACACTAGCTTTTTTTATAGACATAAGGATAGATTGACATACCCATTAAGTCAGTACAGTACCTTGACTGCTTACAATTTTATACCAATGATACTTCAGAAGTCCGGACAAATCACCATTTTTATACAATTAAAACACCCATTGAAACCACAAAAATAAAAAACGAAATGTTATAAGCATATTCATCTTGCTTCACAAGCTTTCTTTACGGCTGCATCATTCTTTCGTTTTTTTTGACACAATGGTAAGCAGGAATTTTATGCCCCATTGTAAAAGCTTATAACAAAAATATTAGTTGAAGCAACGATAATTAATAACTAGGTAGGTACTTATGATAATAAAATTTAATACGGTTGTGGATACTTACATACAGTCAACGATTAAACTTTTGCGGTCGTAGTATATCCAGCCAGTTTTACGATGAATGCACTCGTAGCATCGCTCGGAACGCGTGCGGTACAAAGCGACACAGGTCCAACCTCCAAAGGCGCTGGCGCCGTACTGAACGGCGTCTTGATTTGCACTACTATATATTGCATTTTACGGGTGATGTTCAGAGTCTTATAAAATAATAATTAATGAAATTATTATAAAATTATATGCATATTTCAGTAGTTCAATGATTGTAGATTAGTTTTATGACAGTTTTTGATAGTAATTCTATTTAATTCAATATCAAAATACGAGGTAAACCTGCGTTATTTTTTGGGGAAACTCACGGAGGTTAGATGTTTTTTTAATAATTAATGAGATGGAAAATCAAGATTCTAATACATTATGTTGCAACAAAAACATATTTCTGGTGTCGTAGTAATTAATTTGATCTAATTTATTGAACATTATTGTGAGATTAAGGCGTTTTTAGTTGTGCATATTATCGTTTTTTCCGTAAACTAGCTGCGGTAGAACGATCAGTACAAAAAAATGGAAATAGTATTTAAAAATATTCTACATTAATTTTCAATAGGAAGAATAAATCTATTGTTTACTTCTATTGGAAGTAGTCAAAATCTCTTCTAAGGGGGCAAACGAGGTGCTCAGAAATTGCGATTTATTGCAAAAAATGTGAAAGGGCTCTTAATGAAGTTCCCCTAGATCTGATTGAGCTTCCACTGACTAAATTTAAATCTCAGGTCAAAAATACTCTTATGAATAAGGGCTATTATAAATAATCGTAATGCATGGACATAGTGTTTCTTATAATTTGTTATTTGATGGGTAGTAGTAATTTTTATAACAGTTATATTGTACCTATCTAATGCCGCTTCATATATACTAAATATGATGTTAACTATAAAATTTATTTATAACTATATATTTATATTCTAAATGATCTAATGGAAGGTGACTTCAGACGTATCTCTGAAGTCATTTTTCAACTTGACGACTCTGTATATAACAAAACAGGGAAAAAACTGGTTTTTTCCCTGTTAAGGGCTGGCCCTTGCTGAGTTTCTTGCCGGTTCTTCTCAGTACAAGGTCTCCCGCCGTAGTTTTGCGAACCGATGGCGTAGCTTCTTGACCTTCACAAGTGCTTGTAACACCCTAGACTGAATA